ACATGAATCCCATTCACAAAGGGACAGTGGTGGAATGAGTTGCACTTTTAGGACCAGGAGTTAGACTCATTTTTAAGCATCTGAGGCTTTTTGTGTGCTAACTGTAGTCTGCTCACAGTATTTCTCCCCTTCTGTCCTTGCCAGTTGAGCTGGCGAGGAGAACAACTTAGGAATTAGTGCATCTAATTAGACATCAGAAGGTCAACATGGAGTGACATGTTGCCAATGCCTCAAGCCCAGGGTGAGCTTCAGTCAGAGCTTTGACATCTGAAAGGTCATCTGCAGACAGTGAAGCTCACAGAAGTGGAAACTTGTGGTTTTCTACTCAGAAATGGCTTGGAGTTTTACCTTTGCCACCTTGTTCAGTTAGCAGATTATGGGGCATTGTACCAGACAGCAGTTTATGCAAAGCACCTGTGAAGATGCTGTGCTATCCATACTGTGGGCCCTTCAGTTTTGGTGGACAGCTGCACCTGAAGGATGGCAGCCTCAGCCATGCTTTCTTTAGGAGACAGTTTTCCTTTTCAGATACCCATTGCAGAAACATATGCACTAGTAATTAAGGTTGTAGCAGTTTCACTGTTTGCATTGAATTCCCCTTGTTTTCTTGTTGTCTCTTTATTTTGGGATAAATTCACACTGCATTTTTTGAATGCATTCAGTTGAATATATTGATCTGACTAATGGTACTGTTTGTTTGTGGAGAAGATGGGAGTACAAGCAGCAATGAATGATTGCATGCCCTGCCCATAAATTTTGTGACCATGCATATAATTATGCAAATGGAGAATAAATGTGTCAACAGCAGGTTGTATATAACATTATTCATTGTCCACCTTTGCATTCCCTTGAGTCCTGGGGTTTAGTTGTAGGTATAAACTGGAGGTTATAGTGGGTTTGTACACAAATAATGTTTCTTGGTTAATTGATTCATGATGTTAGTGTTGTCACAGGGAGAATAATTGATGCAGACATTAAAGCTACATTCCTTGATACTGTTTTCAAAATTATATCTAAATGAAAATGCCAGTAGCTGAAATACTCTCAGTTAGGGAATCTTCTTCAATAAATGTCCTTTGGGAGATGAAACTTGTTCCTCATCCAACAAATCAGATGTGGATTTCTTTGTACCATAAGGTATTTTTTCCAGTCATTGTTTTTTCATATCTATCACAAAATCATTGAACCTGCACCCTGTAATGTGAATTGAAGTGAATCTGGGAGCAGGGTGCTTCTGGGACTAGTGTTCAGATATGTTCAGATTGTGTCAGACTTAATTCCAGAATTTTTCTGCAAACTTATATTCCCAAAATATTATTTATCTAAAAAATCAAAGCTGAATTACCTGCAAAACTACCTTTTCTATATATTTGCAGTATACATAAGGACTCTTTCAGAGAAAAGCAGTTCCACTTTCTACACCTGTACCTATTTTCCCCCAAACACACAGAGGAATTGGAAGGGAATTCCAAAGAAACCCAGCTCCAGGTCTGACTTGGATCTCCAGAAAGTATTTTGACCAATAGAAGTTCAAAGTAAAATCCTTGTGAACATAGATTTGGCATTAAATGTTCAACAGCCATTTGAATATCCTCATGTTGTAAAGAGGGAATACATTTATAGCCATGTAGTGTCTTGTTTTCGCATGGTGTGAAAATTAGTTTAGCTCAGTGGAACACTTCTCTTTAATGCCAGCCAAGAAACCAACCAACTTGAATTTTACAATGACATTTTTAGTCCTAAGTAGTGTATATGTGAAATGCTGTAGTGGCTCTGTGGCTCAGGAAATCTTGAGTGCTGAATTTGGTGACTGTCTCTTGAGGTCTGAAGGTGTGGAGAAAGATGATAGCAGAGCCTTCATCTTGTCTTGAAGTACTGTGCTTGCCACTCAAAATTATTTCTCAGGTTAAAGTAAAGTAAAAATAATTTAAATTTATAATCCAAATGATTTGGCAAATACTGGTGTGTAACTTTGCAGAAAATAAATCTTTGTGTGCAAAGGGATGTCTGTGCCTCTTAAACTGGAGGCCAGTTAGAGCTCAATGATGTACGGGTCTGGGGAACTCAAGGGTGTGTTTTTCATCTTGTGTTTGGGAATAATTAAGGTACAATGTTTGGGAATAATAATTGGGAATAATGAGCCCATCTTTACATCTGTGTGTGGAGCATGAACCAGCTCCCCCTCCGTCTGCTAGGGAGGGGAGCAAGCTCAGTCTGCTCCCACTGCTCCTCATGGATGTATATGCAATATATATCAAGCAATATATGGCCTTCCCTGACCAGCCACCAGACCTGTGTGGCAGTTTAGTTTTTTCTTTCCCAGTGTTTGCTTTCACTATGAGACCTGAAAGATGACCTGTCATTATATTCTTCCATCCAAGTGGCTTTACTTTCTGGCAGGTTTCTCAGTAAACAAATATTTACTGTGACTGGAAATTATTTGCAGTGAGAACTAGAAACTCTACATCCAGACATGACAGAAAAATGAGTTAATGTTTCTTTTTCTTTTTTTTAATAGCAAACATGCTGTCATTTATGCACAGTCAGTGTTCTCATAGCTGAGTGGTCACTTAGAGGTGTTTTATTTTTGAGGCTATAGTATTAACTGAGTTCAATATTACTGGTTTGGTCTTCTTAACACTCGACCTTTCCCAGATGAAACCTTTATTAACACTTCAGTTTGGAGGCCTGGCAGTGCAGACAGTGACCTTTATTCCTCTGCTGTCTGAGACAGGCTTTATCACTCTGACAGAACCTAATTAAAATAGCAAAAAAAATAATCAGTGAGTGATGTCAGTGAGAGGCAGAGAACCAGAGTAAGAGCTTTTAGTGGCCAGAGTACATCTGTAACTAGCAGCTCTTCCCTTTCCTTCTCTTCACTGTTGGAGGGAATATTATTTTGCCAGCCGTTATTCATTCTCAATGAGCAGGGATAATCTTTCTTAATCCCTTAGAGAGGTTTCTTTGCAAGATGTTCATTTTGAACTTTAAATCACATTTATGTAGAGCCAGATTCTGTCATGCTCTTTCCTGCCAAATAGTAGCTTCCTCTCTTAAAAATCCAAGAGTGAGTAAGGACAAGAATGAGGAGAAGGAGACAATGATGGATCTTTAGCTAATGAATCCAATTTTATGAATTTTCACCTGCACTTACTTGTCTTCACAAACAATGACTTAAAATTTTTATTTTATTCTCAAACCCTTTCACTTAACCTGACAAGATCTGTGGTCTTTTTTTTTTTTTTTTTAATGGAGGAGAAAAGCTTTGCAGTTTTGTTTGTGCTCTTTTTCACAGGTTCAGCTCCTACCAATGAAACCAGGAGTTTATGGCCATCCCAATGCCATTAACATGAAAATTTCAGTGGCCTCTTTCAGCTGCTCTCTCAGTGATCCTGATTCTCGCCAGAAGTTTATATAATCAGTTAAATAAAACACTGCCATTCTTGCCTGTCATCTTCTAATAATCTTCAGCAAAGTCAATGCTATTCCAGACAGACAAATCTTGAGTCTTGAAGGTCAGAATAGTTCTTCCATTAGCTTATACCAGACCATTTCACAAGAAGGAAATTCTCTGTGCTTTGCTTCTCTGTTTACCTGTTAAGGCCTCTTTTCTTAACAGAGTGAAGAAGCTCCAGTGCGTTACCTTTTTCTCATGTTTTGAAGTTCATGATGACTATCTATCCTTCATTTCAATCCTTTTTACTTTTATCTTATCTGTTTGTGCAATTAAGATTTGCTGGTTCTCATCAGTTTTGCTGTTTACATCTTGAGAGGTAGGTTTGTTAACTGTCAGAGTTTTCAGATCTGGCTTGTTATTTTCAAATAGAGTAAGGCTGACCTTGAATCATATTCTTTACTTGGCATGTTACAGTATTTCTGTTCTCATAAACCCTATCAGAGAGATTGTAAATTTTAGTATTTCCCTGCAAGTTCCTGAGAAGCAGTGGTAATATCAGCTACCCCAGTTCTTCACTCTCAGAGACCCTTTGTGCTGAATCTACATCACAAAAGCAGTTAAACAACCATAAAGGGCACACAAGGAAGCAAGGATCTTTTAACACTGTAGTTCTTTAGAAAATCACTCTGACAATAAAAAATATTGTTTAATCAATTCTGCAGTAAAAAACATGGATGGTTCTTATAGATGTGACTTAAAAAAGAGATGCAGTTATCAGCTTCAGCCATTTGAATCTATGCAGATACTGAAACTGAGGGTATCTAAAAACATATTCCTGGTATCTCTCAATGGCTTAGTTCATAAAGTACAGATGCTTACATGTGAAAAGATTAGATTATTTTAACTCCATATTTCATTCAGTTTGTCATACAAGATGTATTCCTTAGTTATGGTGTTTGATTTGCATGAGCTTTACCTTTCCTATTGTTGCTGTCCTCTTCTCTTCTTCTCTTCTCTTCTCTTCTCTTCTCTTCTCTTCTCTTCTCTTCTCTTCTCTTCTCTTCATGTTGGCCGCAATTGTGTTCTTAAGTATTTAAAATTACAAATCCTGGTATCATATACTTGATAATATGATTGCATATATGTAAGCTTATCTATGTAAGTAGATATGTAACATCTTTAATTTGATGTTGTTGTGGTTTTTCAATGTATTTTATGATTTTACGTGGGAGGTGCTGGATTGCATACAACTGAGACACTGGTGGTACACTGGTGAGGATTCTTCCCCAGTACAATAACTCTTTTTCACTTTGAAGAAGCCTGTTCATTGAAGGAGAGTTATGTGTTCAGATAGCTGGATTGTTGGATTTGACTAATTACATCCTATACAAGCATGTCTTGAGAAGAACCTGACTTTGTATCCATTATGAGCTCAGAAATTTCTTTCTCAGAAATTACAAGAGGTAATCCTGAGCTTTGGGAAAAAACTAAGAGCGAGAGGAACTGAGGAACTTTAACTTGGTGTTTTCTATTTCAATGCATTTTGAACAAGAAACCTTCTCCATTTTAATAATCTAACCTTTTCATATGTTATTGATTGCAGTTGATGAAGGAGTTTCCCCTGCTCAGCATGTTCAACATCCATGAAAACCTGCTAGAGGCTTTGCTGGAACTGCAAGCATATGCAGATGTCCAGGCAGTCTTAGCAAAGTATGATGGTAAGTTCAAATATGTATTTGTATTTTCTCTAGGTGATACACACAGAAGAAATATATTTAAGTCAAACTCCTAATATTTAGGAAACACTGTAATTAAATTGATAGCCGTAAGCTTCATACATGCCCTTACACAATCCTTTATCCAAGATTAAATACTGTGCATTTTTTCTGCCAACCCATGCTGAAATAATTGTACAGGGTGATGGCACTCACTAGCAGCTCCCCTGTGCTTTCTTTGTTTTCTTTTGATGTTTAAAGAAATGACTGTTTAGGTTCTGCTGAATTTTTATTGCATGCTATTCAAACCTTTTCTGAAGAAAATATTATCCCCCATGGAGTTACCTGTGATTGTTGACTTAGTAGCATGGAAGAGAACATTGGTGTAACTTCATAGCAGCTTACTGAGTAGCAGACTTGATTTCTTATAGGGAAACTTTGGGAAGCTCAGAAGACTAGGTGAACATTTTGTATTATTTTGTTTTGTTTTTCAGTAAACATTGGTTTATGCAGCACTGCAACTCTTTTCATGTTCAAAACACAGCTGCTGGAGCTCTAGGTCTTTAAACTTGAAGGCTATTTAAGAAAAACATAAATAAGCAGCTGGTTACAAGTAACATTAGTGATAATCACTTCTAGCAGTCCAGTCTGGAATGTTTTCAACTCTTTTTGGAGTCAAATCATTCTAAGCAGAGATCAAAATGTCACCCAGCCCCTTGAATACTGCCATTCAGTAGCACTAATGACTCTGGAAGAGATCTTGGTTGTACTTAGTCTGATTGAAGACATTGGCAGTTAAAGTGGTAACATCAGAGTCTTTCTAGTAGCTCCTTGTATTTCAGTAATTCCTGTGACCCTGGGGGAGATGTCTATGTTCTTTATTTTGCCATGTTAAAAAGCAAAGTAGAAATGCTGGTTTTTATTCCCCAGGCATCACAGTATTTTGGCATCTTCTAGTCTTCAATGTAGTTATGAGGTAATAGTCCTGGGAAATAGCAGAACTGTGACAGAGCAGGGTATTTAGCCTGTGTTCTCAAATCTCAAGACTAAACTCCAGTGTCAGCTCTACTTTGGCATACTGAAAGCACTGATCCATGATTTTAAACAATACCATGGTAGCACTTTATGTCATGGAAATTGATAAATATTGAAAGTGTGTTTCATTTTCTCAAAAGCATGTGATAGAGTCAGAACAAATGAGACTTTTAAAAATAAAGCTCTTACTTTGGCTGTTTGAGCATAGGCAGTTTCAACTCACACTTTGGTATGGTGTGTGTATGCCCTGGGTTTGCAAAAGGACTCATCAAACACAGGCTTAACCAGTATAACCCTCACAGTTCATGAGTCTCAGAAGGCCTGTCTCAGGGAGTCTCAGCTCATTTTAGAACTCATCAGCTTCATGTGTTGTAAGATTTATTGGAATATAAAACACTGAACTCATTTATACTTTCCTATCTGCAGTTTCTGTTGGTCCCACTCCACTGGTTTTTTTTTTGACTAAGACCAAACCTGATTTATTGTATTTTGATAACATATGAACAAATTGTTTCCTCAAGCAGTCTGCTCCCACCCTGGGCTAAAATGTTGGACCACATCATGTGAAACCTCAGCCTCTGTAAGCAGATGCACTGCTTTACCAAAAGCCATGTGTTAAATTGTGTTTATATTATGTACCTGGCAACAGAGCTGATGTCCATACTCATTATTCATGGAAAAAGGGTCTCATTAGTGGAACAGCATGCACTGTTGCTGAGCTACATCATTATGGTTTCAGAGTTCAGTGTCTGTCAATAGAGTGAGGATGACCTAAATACTGTTGAATTCTGAAAATATTTTTGGCTCTGATTTAACACATATCCATGTTATTTGCAGCAGAAATAGTTATGGCTGGGGGAGTTGGTCTGCTTGTAGTGATGCTTGGAGCAACTGATTAATTAATTTCCCTGGGCAGCCAGTTGCTTTGATAGGTATTAAGTGATAAGCTGGGCACTGTGTGTGTGAAAACTCAGACTTTTCTGTCAATTTAAAGTCAGGTTTAGACAGAATGGATGCCTCTGTGTTTAATCTTAGTGATGCAATGGTTCCTCTCTAAACCTGTCCTTGCTTTCATTTTTTAAAGTATAGTATTTTCCAGTGAAACTAAAACCCTTCTGGTTTGCAGGATGAACATCTTGCACAGATTCTTTTCTCACATATCTCTTTGCAGAGGAGAAAGGCCACATCACCATGCCAGAGTCCCAAATGCAGAGTTCACTTGAGACAATATTTTAGAGCAAAGGACACATAGAAAGGAAATGGGGTTTTAATACAAAAGATCTCATTCTGCTCTATGTTTCGACACTTTTCTATTTGGTAACAGCTTGCTCAAGCAGAATCCTGCTTTAAATTAGTGTTATGTCAAAATGCAGGCCTTTGAAGAAACACTTTTGTCTTGGTTTGAAAAGATAGGTGTCTGCTAAGGAAGGCAGGAGCTTCCCTTGAAATGGAGAATGTAACCCCCTTCCCTCCGAATTATTATAATTTTGAAATTAAGGCGCTCTCAGGCAAAGATATGGGAATAATAATACCAGTTCTTTAATAGAAAAGTTAAAAATACAAATGTAATGGTACAAAAAACCACTGACAGAGTCAGAATATGACCTGACACCCTGTCTAGCAGTCTGATTAATAGGTGGCTGCAGTCCTCCTGGAGTGGCGGGTGTGGTTCTGTTGTAGCAGTGAGCCTCTACCAAACCTCTGAAGGTCTGATAAGGGTGTGGATGGGCCTGGTCTTCCTCTGGGAATCCAGTGGGAAAAGGCTGTCTCTGGTGTTCCAAATTTCAGATTATATCCAGGTAGGAATGCTTGGCTCCCCCCCTGGGTGGAGCCCAAATCTCCCAGTGGGATGATGTCATTTTATCTGTCATGCAGTGGCACTCGGTGGCTCATTAACAGCAGATATTTCCCAGAGAGAGGATTGGTTGTGGAAGAGATAAAGAAAACTGCCCAATTAAGAGAAGATAGCTGCCCCATCTCTAACAGATGGCAATAGAATACGCACCCCCAGCTACATCTTGCAACCCAAGACAACTTTAGAAACAAAGACTTCTTTGTCTTGGAATACCTACAACTTAGTGAAATCCTAACAGTTAACACAGAGAAGTGACTTTTCTAAAATGTAGCTAATTCATGGCTACTCTCTTTTCTCTGCCCCCTTCTGTCCAATTTCTTATTGTCCTTACAGATTATGCATGTAAATTCTATTTATATTGAAGGCAGTCTTTTTGTAGAGAGTTGCAGATTGATGAAGCAATTGCATGCAGCCATCAGTTGCATTAGCTCTGGTCTCCAGGGGTTTTATAGATAGTTTCATTACTTGCCATGTTTATATTTGATGTTTTAGAGGTATTCTACCTGGTGGAGCTAACTGGCTAGGCGTTCTAAGTGCAATGAAGAGTTTTCTTCAGAAAGTGGCAGTATGGAAGCAGCCATTTCCTCATACACAGTGTTTTATACCCCTTTTGTTTCTTTGAAAGAGATATCTTAAGAGAAAATTCCTTTTAGTTATGCTTATACCAAAATCTAATCTACCTTCTCAAAGAGACACAAATCAAGACCTCAAGTTTGTGTAACAGTAATATTGAGAGAATAGTTTGTCTTTGTTCCTATCACATCTTTTCCAGCTTATGCTTGCAAGAACTGATTTCTTTCCTCCGTATCAAAATCACTTGTCACTTCAGCTAGGTTTCAGCAACAGTTTGTGTCTGTTCATACCATCTGGTTTCTTTTTTTTGCCAAATGATTCTGTGGCATTTTTTGTTTTGCCTATTTGTGCAAAAGCACAAGAAGTCTAAAGTAATTATGCTAGTCTTGCTCTCTTTAACTTTCTTAAGCAGAAATTATTCCTTACTCTCTACAGGCATTTAGGATTGAACTTGGTCAAGTTAAAGTGGCTGACTCTTGCTTGGTCGCTGATATGCTTGTCAGCAAGAGTGGCATATGAAATATTTAAAATCAGCAATTTTAAATCTTTCCATATCTGAATAGTGTAAATTTTAGTTGTGGTTATGGCAAAATAAAGGCTGCTTGTGGTTTTCCCTCTGTAATATAGGGGCTGTGTTTGATTGGGGTGTTTCCCACTACTGAGAAAGAATGCCAAAAGTACAGAGAATCAGAACTAATTTTCATAAGCACCATACATATAGTTGTTCTCCTTCCAGCATGTTTTCTTCTACATTTTGTAGGAAAATGTGATCAGTGTTCTAATGGGACATCAGATCTTTCTGATACTGGTTTCCCCTGATATTCACCTCATACTTTTCTTTAATGATTTCCATCACATTACTCTTGTTTTTAACCATTTGTATCAGCTTAATTCACTTTCTTTCTTAATGTTTGTGTCTTTATACATGACTGCATCTCTCTTCTGTCATCACTGATTCCAGCCTGCACGTATTTATTTGCTAGAGTGCTTTCAATCTATAAGCAATTCTTCCTATCACCTGTGCAAAATTGGGAATAATTTGTGATTAGTGACTTATATTTTTGCATTTATTAATGACTAAAGCAATTGCAACATGCCTGTCTCTTCATGTTTAGAGCCTTCGGGTGACCTGGTAGGGAATGTTGCATTCCTCCATATCCAGATGAATAATTTTTTTGTTTTAGTTTCTGTTGATAAGCACACTAGATCCCATGACCTTTTTAGATGATATATGGCATATTCTGCATATCCACAGCATCTTTCCATCAGTTCAGTCTCATAAGCAGCTGCTTAAGAAGCAAATGAATTGTAAGAATTTGCTTTCCCAGCCCTCCTCATACATGACTGGGGCTTATTAAAAGAAAATTCTTATAAATTAAGTCTAGATTTTTGCATTCTATTTAGCAATACAAGCAATAAGAAAGAAGGAGAGTCTTTTCTAGATTGACACATCAGTTTCTATTAAGCAAAAATGTCCTGATGGATTTGACAACAGAATTGCAGTTACATCTTTCAGCACATTGTGTGAGCTCCCCAAGTAATCACAGGAGGGTGGGAAACAGTGCATGTGAAGATGTTTTGCCAGATGGCTCAGAGAGCTGGACACAGTCATTTATTAAAACTTCACTTTGGTTCTGACAGAGTACATATCTCCTAGGGCTAGTTTGGACACAATTCCCTTGCTAAATTCAAGTTGTTACCAGACATAATTGTTTATACTTCTCTCTAAAATATGAGGGTGAAGTTTTGGAGATAAAGCCAAAATTATTTTAAAGTATTGTAGTCATAGACCAGCATTTAGCAGGACTAAACACTTTTGGTCTAATATGTAGCAAACAAAAAGAAAAACACTTTTGAAAGCAAGCAGGCATGGACCTGTTAGGGCTGTCTCCGTTGGACTAGATGATGTCCAGAGCTCAATTCCAGCTCCAACCACTCTGCTATTCTGTGATAAATATGAACATTTGTATCTATTTCTTCCATTGGTAGGGGTCTGTAAGTATTATTCTCAAACAAGTGCTGCTTGCTCTCTAGCAGCACAGTACTGGAAGAGGCCTCCTGGGTGAATCAGGGCCCCTGCTGTTGCATTCCCTGCATGATACTGCCCCTTCCATGAGCTGAGCAAGCTCCATCCTAGAATTAATTGGGTTTTTTTGCCCTGCTGTTTTACCTGGAAATCTCCCTCAAATGTTCATTTCACAGAAACTTTCTTTTAATCTGAGGCCTAAATTTAATTTTGAACTCTGTTCTTGTGCAAATGCTGTCCTTTACCTGAGCAACCCTTCTTCTCTCCTGATGTTCCATGGGGATCTGCATAGGAAACAGTTGGATCTTCTCTCAGTCTTCATTTCATTTTGTTTGATACAAAAACAGTCCAACCCTTCTGTTTGCTTTTGTTGTTCTTTACCATGGGTGATCAGATTTGAACACAACATTCTTTGAGAAATCCCATTTCTTCTGCAAAAAGGACTCACATGGTGTATCTGAGCCTTAGCTCATCTCACCACATTTCTCTTCCTTGCAGATGCCAGCTGTTCATTTTGAATCATCTTGCAATCTATGTGCAAGATGTTTCCAGCTCAGGAACACTTACTGTCTACTAGAAGACAGCATTTTGTGATACTGTTTTACTATGTTTAAAAGGCATTTCTGTTTACTGGAAATAACTTTTTACTCCTAATGTTAAGGAAAACTTGATATAAAGAAGATTATTGGATGTGTTCAGAAATATTTTCTTTTCCTGTCACTGAAGATATGCTCATGCCTGTGTCTGTAGCTGTCTTCTATTAGTGGAGTAATTAATATATCTGTCATCCAAACTGCTCTGCATGCTGCTGATTTTAATTACTTTAGTCACTACAATTACATACTCCAGTGAAATTATAGTTGCAATATATTATAGGGAAGCCACCAGCAGGATCTGTACGCCTCATACTTAAAGTGCAAGTGCATAAAAAGATAACAGGATTTACAGGTAGCCTTTTCAAAGTGCCACAGTCATTCTGGCAATGTTTTCTGTCTCACAGAATGACATTGTGCCTGGTTGCTTGGTTATTAATAAGTGAAGGATGATGACTGCTGAGATAGGACTTGCTTGTTCTGTGTAACTCCCTTCTGGAGCCCTATCGTGCAAGGCACATGAGTTCAGTGAATAACAAGTGTCTGTTAATCCTGAAGTAGCCAAGTTATCATGGCAATTTCATCTTTCTAATCAAGTTTAATGACAAACCAAGGGACAGATAGTTTCTTAGAGCAACAGTCAGATTAGCTGCTCCTCACTTCTACAGTGGGCCTGCCTCAGTGCCTTGTGTTTGCTATGCTGTGTTTTCTGTTTGCTGTAGGCAGTTATCAGTGTGTACAGAAGGGTTTGCAGAATCCAACCTTTAGTGGGTTTGGTTTATTGTGGTTTGGTTTTTTTTTTTCATGTTACCTGTTATCTTTAAATTTCTGATGCTGGAATATTTCAGTCTCAATATGTGACTGCTGGGTGGATTACAGAATCACAGAATAAGCTGAGTTGGAGGGGACCCACAAGGGTCACTGAGTCCAGCTCTTAGCTCTGCACAGGACATCTCCAAGGATCACAACATGAGATTAAAAATGTGGAAGTCAATTCTCTATAACAATGAAAACAATTACATCACTCAAGTCTGTTAAGCAACATTTCTCTCTATCTTTTGAATGCATTGTGCCGATTTGCTGGTAGAAAACGTATAAATTAACTAATGGGTTAAGTTGGGTTTATGGTCCTGTGTGTCTCTGGAACAGGATAAAATTGCTAGAGTGTCTGGTGAATGTGTGTTTAGGTCCAATATTTTCTTAAGAGGCAAAACACCTTATTTTACTGTAGATCTTTAGCTTCAATCAATCTACTGGTTGATTGTTTGCAAGTCATATCCATTATTACTTGAATAGCTGTCTTAACTTGTACAGCTACTGCATGCTCATATTAGACAGATGCTTCTCAGTGAAAACATGAAGAGTAAAGTAGATAGCCCTCAGGTATTACTTAGATATTTTGTGAACTATGGAAAAATCCAGGTATTCCAAATTATCTATATATTTATCTATGGAGTAATGACTTGTTTCATTATGTCTCCATCATGTCACTCTTTGAATTAGTTCTCTAATGATACCAGTTGCTGTTTAAATAGCACTTCCAGAGGTCATTAACACACATTTTAAAGCCTGTATATCAGGTGGAAATTTAAAAATCCATGTGACATGGCAGCATAAGTCCAAAGATAAGAAAGTATTCTGAATTCATGTACTAATTTTGTGTATGTCATGCTTACTCTAAAGAATCAATCAATCACTTTTCTTCTGCACACTTTTAAGTGTTCAAATATTTAATATTTTCCTTTCTTTTCAACAGATATAAGTTTACCAAAATCAGCAACAATATGCTACACAGCTGCATTGCTCAAAGCCAGAGCTGTCTCTGACAAGTAAGTGCTTAAGAACCACATTCCAGAAAAATTCCTGATTTAATGTAAGATTTTTCTTAGCTGAGCCCACACCCTAACAATCTGCTGATTTAGCAGGAAAATTAAGACCTGCGGTAAATTACTTTATATATAAAAAATAATTAATAATATAAAAATTTTGATAAAATTACTTTATGTGTAAAAAATTTGTAGTGATCAAACATTGCACTTGAGATGCTAAGGAAGAAGAAAATAAGAGAAATTGCATAAATTCAGTTTTTGTTTCAGTTTTATAAATACTGTCTGGGTGAGCTTTGGCTTCCTAGACAGTATGGTGAAGATGCAACTGAAAAGGGTTGTGTGGCTGAACCTCTTCAACTTTGTGTAAACTTGACGCAAAAAGGTAAAAACTAAATGTGGATGCACTGGTAACAATGTCATTTTACAAGTGCTGTCAGCAGAGTGCTCATCTAATTAAATAGCAGCAGGTGGATTTAGCATTATTATGTCAGGGATTCTGAGAGGTAGATGATGTTCATATTTTTAGAGACACAAATATCTGTTCATTCCTTTTATGTTTTTCACTTGGGTCTCAACCTTCCAAGGTGCTGAGCACATCTGTTTGATGCCTGTGGACTTGGTAGCACCGGCCCACTCTGAAAGGGTGCTCAGCTCCTCGTGAGATGGAGCTCAAAACCCCATTCTGCTCTCAGATGCCTGCACACAAATCTCAGGCAGAGTTGTGTCTGTGCACCTGAGGGTCAAATGCCCCCCTAAAGTTGAAAAGCAAGTGGAGTGGAAAGCCATTTTCTTGACTGACATCCTGACAGTTTTTGCTTTTAAAGTGTATGTACACATCAAGTTCTAAGTAATTTTCTTTCATTCTTTTTATCCTGTAGATCGCCAGTACCTACTGCAACATCTTTCCTCCCTACACAGCGACTCCAGCTTGGGAGGGCAGGGCTAAGGTTGTCACAGCTTTCCCTGTGGTGTCTGCCTGCCAAGTACAGCTCTGGAGTTAGCCGTGGGGTGTGAGGTGAGAAAGAGATTGCATGGTCTGGTTTTTTATTCATTGGGGCAGATGATTTGCCCACAGTTTGGGCATGCTACCCTCAATGGTGCTGCAGCCAGTAGACCACCTGCTACTGCTGCTGCATCGTGCTTCCATCTCAACCTGACCCAGGGGCATTGGGTTGGGAACCTTCCTAAAACTTCCCCAAACCTGTTTTTAATATAAACCCTCCAACAATAATTTGGCACTGGCTTTTTGGGGGTTTTTTGGTCTTGTTATTTTTTCTTTTCTTTTCTTTTTTTTTTCCCCTGCAATTTCAGCTTTGAGTATGCCCCTAGCAAGGTATCTAGAGCAAACTTAGGTTAGTGACAGAGAAGGGACTGTTTGAACTGACTTTCTGCCATGATTAGATACAAACATGCTTTCTGCTTCTGCTGGGATTTTTATAGGCCTTGATGTAATAGATCACTCAGAGTTTCCACTTGCTATGGAAGTTTGGAGAGCATAGGAAAATTACTCAGTTTGGTTACATGGGCCCGTGTTCTAGATTCCTTTTCTGAATTTTTCTTACTAGCATTTCTGACCTAATGTGTTTGTTTCTTTGCTTTTGTAGATTTTCTCCAGAGGCTGCTTCAAGGCGAGGGCTGAGCACTGCAGAGATGAATGCAGTAGAAGCTATTCACAGAGCAGTAGAATTTAATCCACATGTGCCAAAAGTGAGTATTGAGAAAACATTGTTGTAGCTCTGACCCTGCTGAGGATATAACTCCTGATTTTTGTGTTAGAGTAATGAGTGATGTTGTGGAAAAGAGAGCAAACAATGGAAAGGGGAAAAAGCTGATAGTATGCACAGTTTTTTGGTTTGCAATCTCATATTCAGGACTGTGCAACTTGAAATTTCAACTGATGTGGATTTCACCAAATGCTGACCTGCAGGCAGATCATGCATAAAGGTAGATTATTACTCACAAAATAGTCATTAAAGATCTTCTAGTTCAAAGTAGCATATTTTATGTGTTTTGACGATTATATGTAAGAAAATGGTTTTGGCATGCTGTACAAAAGAGCCTATCTTTGGAGGTCATGGTGTACTTCATATAAGTTGCATTAGTAATTCCTTATGCAGCGACCTGTCATTAAGTTCTGAGGATGCAAAGCTCAGAGAGGAAGAATTGCTGAGAAGTGCAAAGTAAAAAAAAACAGATTTGTGTTCTAATTCCCATACCTGCTCTCTGGGGTTTGTATCTCAGCAGTGAGAATGTTGCCAAGAGGTTGCTGAAGGCTAAAGGCAGATTTTTTTGCCAGTTGGACCTTTTTGGCCTCTGAACTTCACCTTACAAACCTTTGGGCTAGCATTGCCCTTGGAAAGTGAGCAGTGGAAAACTGGGATGTGTTAATGTAGGGAGCCTTGTCATTAGATACAGTTGAGCACCAAGTCTGATCAAGACAAACCCAAACCCTCTTCCACATGTACACATGGGTTCCAGAAAGTTAATTCTCATGCATTGCAGGAATTAAATGTTTTCTCTGTGAGCTTTGTCTGTAATGCCAACCACTAAATAGCTGTCTGAAAGTTAGGCTGTAGGCTTTATAAAATCATCTAGATTCCCTCTACAGGCAGTGGAAAGAATGATCTGCCTTAGACATCTTTAGACAGACTTTTCCTCCTCTGTTTCTGCAGTGAATATGAAAGGAGCAACTCTTTTCCAGTAAAAGCCTGATTTTTAGACAACAAAGTTTACATGAGAATGAGTCCTTTTGTAATATTAGCTGAGCTTCTACTTTTGTGCCATACCATAAAAGGAATATCTTAGATGAAGCTTAATTCCAAGGCCTTCTCTGTTTACTTTCTTCCATCCCAATGGTTCTTGCAACAACTCAACCATTGGTGTTTCCCTTCTGCCTAGTTGCCAGTTTAACTCTCTAGTGCAGTCCTGCTCTAGGTGAACCTTTCTAAATGTTTTGCTGAGGCCCAGTTGGAGATCTTGCCAAGTTAAAATACCAGTTTAGCCTGTCATGAGCAATCCTTGTGAGCTTGTTCCATTTTCCTCACATATCCATAACCATGCTATTGATAAATGTTTCCATCACAGTCTTTTTAAGCTCATGTTGTTAATTGATTCCCTCTATTTTTCAAAGTCTGACACTCTGAAATTGAAAACCTGTGGGAAACATAAAATTACCAGGATGACAAGGTAGGATGATAGGAGCCTGACTCCAGAGGTTCTTTTAGTTCAGATTTGAACATTAAAACAGAATAGCCTGATCCAGATTAATATACAGCTGATTTCACACTCATTCCTGCTGCTATTACCTAAAGGATATTAAGGTGTGAAAGTTCATTTTTGGTTATAATTTTATGCAGTGTGTGGATATTACACCTCAGCTTCCACTCAGTTGTAATTGAAGTCATATCCCATTTGTTTTTCATGAAATGGGAATAAGTTTTAGCAAGCAGCATCACAAGAAGTCTAACAGGGCCACAAAACAAATGTGTGTTCAGTGGTTCTCTAGAATCTAAATATTAGTGAGGCCTTTGTTCAGAGTGAGGAAGACATAAACCACAAAATGTGACAAATTGTTTAACATACTACACAAAAACTTAGGAGTTAAACAGAGAAGGTTGTCTTGCCACTGAAGCTGTTATTCCAGAGGGGTTTTTATGTACATATTATATCATGAGGAGTGTGTAATTTGTGGAGTGGTTGGGGGAAAAGGTATGTGTATACACAGACACACAATTTCATCAATATTATTTATATGTGTTTGGGGCTTCCCTACTTGTATGTAACAGGACTATAAAAAGCTAATGCTGATAAGCTACCACAGCTGTCTCTTGGACATTTATCAGTTGTGGAACACCCTTCCTGCACTGATTTGCAGAGCTCTCTCCCTTCATTCAAACTCCTCCTGAAAAGCACTCCCTTCATTTCTGTGATGTATGGGACTGGAGGTATTCATTAAAGAGAAAACAGATGATGGTCCATATATCTGATTGTTATAAGTGAGCCAAAAGTATGTCCTGCACACAGTTGTATGGGTTTGTATGTAAGCCAGGAGCTGAGTTTATTTGAAGAGAGTCTCTGCTGAAGTATGCTGCATTTCAATCAGGCAACTTAAATATTGATATTACTTTAAGAAATGTCAATTTTGTCTATAAACAACCTCTTAAAAGGATGTAACAAACCATTGATTTAAACACTTTTGAAGATTGATCTGTTCTCTGTTGCATCCCTTCTCAATTTTTTTCTTATTTATTTTGATTTTCTTAGTAAGAGCTGTGTCTGTCCGTATGCTTGTGTGGTTTCTAGTAAGTTGTAGTTGCTAATAGAAACAAATAATGCAAACAAATTCATAGACCAGATGGGAAATTAATCTGTTCCACACACCCCATGATATTACAGAGAAACTATTTGAGATATGTTTGAGAGAGTTTTTAACTCTTCAGTGAGACACTGATTTGTTGTTTTATTTCCAGCAGAAAGGCCAAACCTCTTAATTACAACCAATTCAATGAGAATGTGAAAGGTGACCTGAAAGTGGCTTCAGTAGGCATGTAGAAACCAGCGTTTTGGAACTTTCTTAAGCCTATGCTGTTCATCCCACTGGGAAGATGAGAGTTCCTGTTCAAGCAGTGTTAAATTCTCATACTCTGGCCTGGAAGGATGCTGTCACAGGTGCAGCAGTGCCTGTTGCCTGTTTGCAACCTGAGCTGTAATTTCAGTCAGATTGTACAATTGAGGAAAAGAAGGAGACCTGCCTGAGTTAGGTTGATTTATTTTATAAAAGGTGATTGGAGTAATATGGAATGCTAAAAGCACTCTCAGCAGGAGAGCATGAGGAGCCAGAGAGCTGTCAATATTGTCAAATAGATAATGTATGCTCAATTGATTTAAGCAAGAGAAGTATAAATTCCACCCTGTTACACTTCATGTATACAAGGTCCATTGTCATTCTCCAAATGCTCATTAAAACACATTCCTGTACCTGCACAGAATGGCTGTAGCTGAGATGTATCTATCAGAAAATGTCACCCAACTGACCCAGAAGCCCTCTATAGAAGTACATGAAAACTACTGTTACACTGTAACTCCTAAATATAGGTCTTTGACAAAAAAAGGTTAGATTAGAGGGAGAGAAGAGAGGGATCTGAAAAAGCAAAAAAAAGACAATCCAAAAAATAATCCAAGCCAGAACAATGCAGTGGCAAAGGGCTCATTGAGCTATCTCACGATGGCAGAAATCATTGTGCAACTCCAGTATTTGCTTCCAGCGTCATTGAGGCTGTGTCATAGAATCAGCAAATCAAAGAAAATGCCAGGGTTGGAAGGGGCACACAAGGATCATCAAGGCCACTTCCTGGCCCTGCACAGCACCATCCCCAAGAGTCACACCATGTGCCCAAGAGCTTTGTCCAAAAGCTTATTCTGTCAGGCTGGTGCTGTGACCACTTCCCTGAGGAGCCCGTTCCAGAGCTCAGCAAGTCCTGTCACTGGCCGCAAGAGTGAAGAGATCATTCTGGCAGAAATTCTCTAGCCTATTTGTTCCTGAGCTGGAACATTTTTTAAAGGAACCTGATAAGCCCAGATGGTGATGGCATTTTATTTCTTGTTCTAGTTAAACTTCTTCATTTGTTCCTGAAAAAAAAAATGCAGTTGAAGATATGTTGGTCTTACCATCTAGATTTCCTCCATGAATGCCTAGCTCTCAGCTAGTTTCTTATTTAGCCTGTTGTTTGATTCTCCCTCTGAAGTGGAACCATGCTTGGGTTCAGAGTTCTGTCAGGATGAGAGAGGGCTCCCCTCTTCCCTGTTTTTTCAAAGGATTGATAAGGTATTGAAGTTTTATTACTTAAATTATGAAGGTTGTGGTTCAATCTGGTGGATGCTAGTGTATCAGGAGCTAGAGTTACCAGGGAGTCTGTCAAGAGATGTAGGTTACTAGTATGAATTTTAGGGGTATGATTGGATTTTGTGTCCCTGTTAGTCCTGTGACAGCAAGGGCTGTGTTCTGGAATAAGGGCTTTGGAAATTTAGAGATATGAAGTCTTTGGTGGCTCAAGAGAAGACTGCACTTGTCTAGCCTTTGATGAAGTGCAACAGCAGCCTCTTGGAAGCTACAGTCAGATGTCTTTGGCTGATTTTTTCCAAGAGCTGGAGATGTTTGTTGCATGCAGTAGTCCATCAAGACTGTAGTTCACACATTATATGGCCAGCATGAGGACTGTAGCTCATTGGATGGTTTTTAAGGTTTTTGGTTTTATTTTTTTTTTTGTTATTTAGTTCATTTGACTGGAATTTGTCTCCCTGTCCAGTACAGAACGTTTCAGGGGAACTGTGTTGGTTTCACAGACAACCTGCTGGAAACCCAGCACGTTGTTAGGGCTCCATCCTGCCTCTGAAAGATCCAGGACCAGCAGCCTGCAGTTGCCAAAATAGGGGGCTGCCCTTGGTGTCCCTAGGTAGACCCTTAGCCCTGCCAGCAAATGAACAAATGCCCTTGAAAGTCAATACAACAGTGCACCAATAGATATGATATTCATGGATATCAAGACCATTCTAATTTTCATGGACAATCATATCTCTCCTTCCACAGTAATCAAGCCCTGCTTACAGCTAGGCAGCTTTTTGGTACCCTTTACTAATGTTCAGAGGACTTGAGTAGATGGAGGCCTTCAAGTGCCATCTCACAAAACCATTTCTTTGAATTTCTTTGCTTGATAAATTTCATCTTTTTTGTTTTGGAAAGTGCCTGATGAGAAGATAAATTTCATCTTTTTTGTTTTGGAAAGTGCCTGATGAGAATTGTACAAAGTGTTCCAGACAGGGTCTCTCTGGGGCTGTGTACAGTCAGTGTTCCTGCTGGAAATGCCTCCAGAATAAATTAATTGACAGTTTGTATGCCTAAAAGGTGTAGCTGACATTTATGTGTCAAATAAAAACATGTATGAGTCACAAATGAGTCTTGAGCCACCTATCAACTTTGCATGAGGGTCTTATTGAGTATCACCAAACCAGGTTATGGACTTTTGTTTGGGAAGGTAGCTGTGATACAGTAACGAGGGAGGAGGGGTTCACATTTTTGATCTGTGGCACTTCTAAAAATAATTTCTTTCTGAAACTGAGAAAAATGCAGGCTGAAAAGTCAAGTTAACTGAGTGAGGACTAAGCTTGATTGCAAGTGTGAAGATATGTCCTTCCATCTGATATTTCCACTTGATTTCTTTTTAATTGCTGATAACAAGTAATACATAAGAATCAAAACACATGTTTTCTTTTAGTGCTCCTAGAAATATTCCTTCCTGGATTTTCTTTCCCTACTAATAGTGATGTTATTGGGTTTACGTTTTTTCTTTCTGTTGAAACATTTGAATATTGAGAACTTATTTTCTCATTTAATTTTGCAGAAAATATGGAAATAAGAGTTAATGTTCTGAATTAATAAAACAGGTAGAAACCTGCAGCTCTTGCAGCTGTATTCCATTCTGCTCAACAGGTATAATGTGTGTTTTTAAAAGGGTGAGGCATTCATTAGGGCAGTGAATGTTTGCTGTATTTGTGTCAGCCTGGCAGCTCCCTCCCTTTTGTCAGATCTTTGTTCTGTTCTCTCTATCACCCTTAATCCCCTGGACTGCCTACTAAATGGGAATTTCCTCCATTAATCCACCTGCTCTGCAGCTCTCAGATTTTTCTGAAAGGCTTTAGGCAAAATCCAGTATCATATTCAACTACTCCCACTGCTGATTCAGTTTCTCCACTTTTAATAGTTACCCACATCAGAAACATGTGATTTCTCTTTGAGGTATTTATTTATTTATTCCCCAGGATTGACAGTTCTCTGTTTTGATCATGAGCTCTCCAAATCTTTTACCTGCATGACAGCTCCATCAGACAAAAGGGTGACACTCTCTAGGACATCCTCCACAAAATCATGCAGTTGGTTCTCATTTCCCTCTGCCCTTTTCTTTTCCTTTCCACAAGGCTGACTTTAAATCCTCATTCCTTTCTTTTGCTTTCTTTTCTGCACCAGCACATCCTGTTCACAAAAGCCAGCATTTATCAGGGGTTGGGCAAGGCTGACACCACCCATGGCCCTTTTTGCCTCCAGTGCCAGGCTGCTCCTCGTGGGTGCCTGCAGTAGGAAGTTGTCACTCCCTGGGTCCTGCAGTCCTCCCCCTTCCAGACCAGGCTGCAGCACAGGGTGAAATGGGGGAGCTGCACACTCCCTCCTTCATTGCCAGTGAGCAGCCACACCTTGCCTTTCCCAGCCTTGTGCTAGGGCTGACTCACCTGCTGCCTGTTGTGTTAACTTGAACAGTCTGGCAGGGAGAAGGTTTGATCTTGGGCATCCTGGAAGAGAGTGACAGTTTCCCTGTGCTGTGGAAGAGCAGTCAGAACACAGCTGGGAAATGTTTCACTCCTCTGGAGAACTGACCCACAGGAGCTGATTCAGCAGCTTCTTTTCTGTCTGTTACTCCTTTTCTGTAAAGGATGCCAGCAAGGGTGTCCTTTACAGGAAAGGATTCATCTTTACCCTCTGCTGTTTCTTGCCCCTCCAGTGGCTGGAACGCAGTGACACCAGTGGTGTCTGCTGAGCTGTGTGAGTTGTCTGTCTAGTTACCTGTTACTCTAGTTCATGGATTGAGGAGGGAGAAAAATCACCTGCTTGAACAATGTCTGAGACCTCTGTCTTCTCCTGTGTCATGAACCCTCTGTATGTTTCATCTGGTTCTGTTTCTGGTAGGAGCCAGTTATGGGGAAATTTTCTGTGGAAATTGCCTGTGGGTTTGGTCAGTGGTCCTTCTCATTTTAATGACACGTTCAACAACTGTTACACGTAGCAAGCTCAAAGGTCCTATACTTTTTCCCCCACCTCAACCCCAGAAATCAGGCACCTGTTACATTTTGTAACATTTTTACCTTGTAACTCGTTCTTAGCTACTTTGGTGGCTGCCAAGCTTGCTTGTTCATAGACCTCACAACCAGTTAATGGCGATGCAGGAAAGGCAGCAACCTGTGTGCAAACTAGGAGTGCCATGTGTTTCCTTATAGAAAGACTTTGTGCATCAAAATGCTTACAGTCTTCTTCATTTTATTATAAACACTTTTAATTAAAAAGCTCTTGTAATTAAATTCCATTTTCTGCTTTGAGACCTTTTTTTCATCTCCTTCAATAAGAGAGATGTTTAATTTTGAATTTCTGTGTAGTCCCAATACCAGTGTTGTAGAGCAGAACCATATGACAGCATATCTTAGTCTTTGGGAATAATTCAATAGTTGTCGTCAAGTGCAGTTGGTGATGTTACACATTCGATGAATCTTGTGAAAAAAAGTACTTCAGGGAAATAGACCTTTCAGTGTGCATTATAGAATTGCAGTCAGCTTTCTGTGCTTTTGTTTTGTATTACCTCTTCAATAATTGTGCTCTACTTTTTAATTTCAGTATCTACTAGAAATGAAAAGCCTAATTCTGCCCCCTGAACATATTCTGAAGAGAGGGGACAGTGAAGCAATAGCATATGCTTTCTTTCATCTTCAACACTGGAAAAGAGTAGAGGGGGCATTGAACCTCTTACACTGTACATGGGAAGGCAGTAAGTAATCCTCTTTCTTACAAAGGAACTAATAAAATATTGAATTTCACGAAAAAGTAATAGTTTTTGTCAAGTATAATATGTGAGAATTTTGGACACTTGTTACATCCTCACCAGCATTGAACTATTTGAAATTTGAACTGAAAACATGAACTTCATTTAGTGAGTAAAAGGAGTTTAAAGTCTTGTGTCTGCTGTTTAATACTGAACAAAATTTCCTAACTTCTTTGAGACATATTTTCCTGCTCATGGATAAGGAGATAATAATTTAACTTACTTAATTCCAGAGGTTTGTTTGTCATTATTGGAATGAATTGTTTCAAACTGAGAGTATATTCAGATTGGACATAAACAAAAAATATTTTGCAATAAGAGTGGTGAGGCACTGGAACAGGTTGCCCAGAGAAACTGTGAATGTGCCATTCCTCCAAGTGTTCAAGACTGGGTTGGATGGGGCTTCAGGCAACTTGGTCTAGTGAAAGGTGTCCCTGTTCAGGGCAGTGGAGTTGGAACTAGATTATCTTTAAAGGTCTCTTCCAACCCACACCATTTTGTGATTCTGTGAATGCTTTGATATTTGGGAATTGTGAGTGTGCCTTATAGAAAGGTATATATATTAATGTGAAATATAAAGCAATGCTGTATTTTTATGACTTTTTTTAAACTGGTAAACTGGAGTGAATTCAGTGAAGGATTGCTGGGATGCATAGGGGACTGGATTATGTGATACAGGACAAAATGCTGAGGAAGCTGGTTTTGTTCAACTTGGAGAAGTTTTATGGTGGGTGGAGAGATGATCCAGTTGCTGTCTTCCACCACCCAGCAGAGAGATGATATGGATGAGTGAGTCACAGGCTTCACAGAACAGGCCAGCATAAAGACAGGAAGCAATATACACAAGTTCAAGTCAGATAAATTTAATCCAGACCTTAGAATCATATTCTCAGAGTGAGAGGGGTCTGTGGGATCTCCTGCCCCAGACATACTCAGAACCCAGCTTGACATAGTTCTGAGCAATCCAATGTAATTTGGAAGTGACCCTGCTTTGAGTGGGAGGTTGGAGTATATGACTTCCAAAGGTCATATACTAACCTTCTAATGTATCTTATCCTGTCTTTGAGATGTGTTTTTATCAGGTTTCTGAAAATTTAAAAGTACAAATTATAATCGTTGGCCTTTTTTCTGATTTAGTGTAATCTAGTTCCCCATTTCTGCTCTGCTTTGTTCTGTTCTTTTTCATCCTGTGTATGTTATTACACCAACTTGTTTGTATGGGTGTGTTTTGCCATTTTTTGTCCTCATTGAGCTTTGATAGAAAAGATTTTTGTTACCATGATAATTCCTATAGAAATGCACTTAATACCTCTAGTGTGAAAGTGACTTACTATCTCAGTTACAGTATGAAATTACCTTAACTTGCTTAATTTGCACTGTAGGCTCCCTGAGGGTGCACTGGTTTTTTATTTTCAGGTGTATAGAACACCTTGCTCAGTAACCCATACCAGTGCTGCCTGGGGTTTGCTCTGCTGCATTGTTCTCTGTCAGACCTGCTAGCTCTTCTCCCATTATTTCTCCCAGTCTATTATTTTCTCTGTTACAGGTTCATTCCCAATGGCTTTTTTTAAAGTTATTTGCTTTTAAGCAGTGTCCCTTCTCTTCTGGATTGTTGCAGAAGTCCTTTAGCTTAGGGTTCATTATTCCATCAGTAAAAGCAGTGTTTTGCAGGGAATCCTGAACAGATCTATTTTGCTCTGTCAGGCTGGGGAGCCCCTAAAGGGCTTTGTACCAGGACCAGTTTTGGCACAGGAGTCTGGCTGCCCTGCAGTCCTCCTGCCACTCAGGAAACAAGTCATCTGTGCCTGAAGGCAGCATAGGGAATTCTCATCTAACTACACTTCCCTTCTTATTATCTCCACATTCAGCAATCTGAACATGTAGTTCATTAGCTAATAGCTGTATAATAGCCTGTAAATATGTAAATTAATATCATTGCATAACTTCTGCAGAAAAATCCATGATTCATTTTGTGCACGAGTCCTCAAAATTTTTGTTCATATTTTGCTCACATGTGAAGACAACCAGGGGTTTTAATGGTTTCACAGTGTCTGGTCCAATAATATTTGGTTCATATCTTGGCATCTGCATAACTAAGTGAAAACCAGTGAAGACATGGCAGAGAAGTTAAATGTAATTACACTGGTTTTAACCAACAGTCTACATATAATCCATGGTCAGTTGCCCTTGCTTTCTTTCTGTGTGTTTGTAGGTATTTTATTCGTAGTACAACTATAAAAGCCCAAGTGCCACCACTGTGTTTGGGCCAGGTTCTCTGTACAGGAGGTCTGTAGTTTCAAGTGTAACCAAGTTTCTGAAGTGTCTGGGGTGATGGTTTGTCACTATTGTTTTCTAAATTTGTGCCAAAATTCCTACTGTTTGCATGAGGAAAAGAAATCTAGGGGTTCCCAAATGCTCCTGGAGCTCTTGCAGCTGCTGTACATGGTGAGTGGTAAACTTGCTCTGTGCTACCTGAGTCAATTAATGTAAAATAGGATCAGATAATACCATAGGAGTGAGGCAGAGAAGGACCTACATAGACACAAACTGATCCAGATGAACCAGAGCACTTCCTTCCATGGCTGGTAGCATTGCTAATTAAAGCAGTTTTGTTGTAAATATCCCATAGTTGGTCTCATGTCAAGCACGATTGCTTAAATTGAGTAACATCTATTCAGACATTTTTCACTTCTTTTGTAAAAGCAACATATCCACCTCACGTTTTGTTTTTATTAAAATCTTGATACTACTGTGGCTTAGGGTAAAGCAGAAGAGACTTGATTGTCTGTTTCAATGTTAAGCCAAATTGGAAGGAAAAACTTGTGTCAGGGATTTTGAAGAAATGAGCATTGAACACGTTCCACATATGTTTTTGTACAGACACTCAAGTTTGTTGTGTGTTAAGATCATCCACTGCTTGGATATTGTATTTGTACTTGGCTTTTTGGGTTGCTATGGAGAGGGGTGGTTAATGCTGGAAGAGCATTACAGCCCAGGTTGGTTTACAATCTTTTAAGATCTCTGCCGTCTTTACTATTGCTTTAAATGCAGCAACCAAGAAAAAACACAGTAATATAGTTTCACAAAAAACCACAGCTAACATAATTTCAAATGCAGTGTGCACAGCTGAAAATACTGGGGGACTGTGTATTTAAACAACTCCTTAAGTTGCCTTGTGAGCCAGAGATAATGGAGTGTTACTGTGTGGCAGTGGGCTGTGCCTAACAACTTCAGTGTACAGTGCTGCTAGGACAGCTGTGGGGGAAAATACTGCTTCAGTGACTGATGTTCATAGGAGTAGTGGGAATAACATGTTGATGATATTTTAACAGTGAAAATAATATACAGGATAATGGAAAATGATGCCTTGATGCAAAGCTATATTTCAGTCAAGTATTCTGATGTTTCCATAAACCACACTCAGATGGCCTATGACATCAGCACTGTCAAGATTTAGTAATCCATTTCCCTCTGTTATTATTTTCAATTTTAAAAATTCATAAGATTAAGTATTATTTAATCCATGACCTGAAGATTTATATTGGAAACCTAACTTGATCTGCTGCATTTAGAAAGAATGCATGAGAGGAAACTGAGTTTAATAATTTAGTATTAATCTTTGATTGCCAAATAGAAAATGAAAACATGACTGTGTTGGAAAACTGGTCCTCAGAGCTCATGTCATCAGTGTGCTGGAGTGTGATGGAAAAAGAGTAGTGTATTTTTTCCATGAAAAACCTATTATTCTTGATGCACAGGGACTGTGAATATTGGTCTACATTTACAGGCTTGGCTGTTCATTTTTGTAGGCTATACCTGTTATATCAGATACACTCCCCTGAAATTTAAAAATACTGCAGCCTAAAAGCCTAAGACAAAATGTGCAAATTTGGCTACGGAATTGGAAGCATAATGGGCTTTGATTATGCAAACATTTTTGTATGTCCTTGTAATGTGGTCTCACCTGACATTCATGAACAGTCTCAAGAATAAAAATAAACATAGGAGGTTTTGTGATTAAAAGCTCAATGTGGATTTCTATTTTGGCATTTCATTAATCAATTTATATGCTGTTTGCAACTATAAGTGTTTTGTCTGTGTTTGTTTTTCAGAATTACAAGTATTCTTAAGTATGACTGCCACACTCACAGCAACTTATGCACTGTGTTTTCTTTTCAGCTTTCAGAATGATCCCCTATCCACTGGAAAAAGGACATCTTTTCTACCCTTACCCTATTTGTACAGAAACTGCAGATAGAGAACTACTACCATGTATGTTCAACGTTTTTCTTCTTATGATTGACACCTAAGAATTGTTTACCTGAGTCTTGCAGCACCGGTCTCCTTTGAAGCCTTTTGAATTGAGCACACTGGATTAGAATAACCAGATTGACAGTGAGCCTCTGGAGCTCCTGTGATGGTTCAAGAGGCAGGTCTTCAGCATGGTTCATAACAATTAGCTGTATTTATTATTTTTGACAGCTTACAGACAGGGAGAGAGATTACCAAAGAGATCCAAATCACTTAGATCTTGCTGTTCTCTCTTGCCAAGACACTGATCTTTCATCTGGGTTAACATCCCCTCAAACCAAAAGCACAATGTCACAGCCTTGTTAATCCTTGGTAGACACATGAGCTACTTGAATTCCGAGGCAGGATCCAACTTGCTTGAGGACAGCTGGATCATTCCTGCAGCCAGTACTCATGGCAGGCTGTGCTTACATTTTCCAAAAAGCAGTTTAAATAGCAAGAAAGGGTTTTCTTCATGTTATGGCGTGTGCACTGTTAGGAAGAGATTGATGTGAAGTCATCTCAGTCACTTTGATGTGCGTTTATAGCGTGTGCTAGGAAGGTGCCAGCAGTGTTCCCAGATACAGATATAAAGAGATCCAGCCCCCAAGAAGCATTACAGTCCAAGCTAATGAGACTCATTGCAGTGCATGCAGTGAAGCACAGGAATGCAGAGGGAGAGCCAAAGCAGCCAATCTTGCAGTTACACTTCATTCCCACATGTTCTCTCTGTGGGACTTTGTGTGAGCACGAGTGGAACACACACAAGTTTGCAGGGTCAGGGCAGAGGAGGGAAATAAAAGTTGATCCAAGGAAGAAGATTCTTCTCTCACCTTCTTAAATAAAGAAAAATTTGTTCTGGAACAAGGAAAATGAAGCCTGCTTCTGCTGGGAAGGCTACTTTTGAGGGCATTTGCATCCTTTATAGTCTTTCATTCAGAATCTTTCTGGTTTGGGCTGAAAAAAGTGTTGCCTCTTTTTGTAAGCCTACATGAGTAAACATTAGGTGAGAATAATACAGCAAAAATCCACTCACTGCAAGTCTCTCCTTCACAGCACATTCCTGCTGATATTACGCAGAAATCCTTGGCAACTGGCAGTATCTCCCCACCCCATTATGATCATCCTAATTATAACAACACCTCTCAGAGTGCTCTGCTTGCTGTGCTCAGAGGGATGCTGAGCTGGGGAGGGTGGAGTGTCAGGAGATTTAGGAATGACAAAGTCATGCAGAATAGCTCAGCATTCTCTTTTTAGATGCAAAGCTAATTGTTCTTGTCAAATGTTACAAGCTAACAGTGGGACTCTTTAACAGCATATGCAGCAGTGTGTTCTGCTCTGGCAGCTATGGGAAATGCCTTTCACTGCAAAATCCCCTGGGTTAGAGGAGGGAAGGGTTTAGAATGCCTGACAGACACAGGTGGGTTAGAGTGGTTTTGCATACCTGTCCACACCCTTTAATTGTGCATGTTTTGTGGGAGAGACAGCTGGAATTATGTCAGAACACAACAATCTCATAGGCTCTCCAAATTAAAAATATCAATTACAAAACTTTTGCCCTGACTGGATAACAGAGTGGGACAGCAGGGTTGAGCCTGTGTGAAAAGGCAGTGCAAGAAAAGTGCAAGAGATCCTTGACTTACAAAATCCATGCTCTGGTATTTCTGATCTCTACATTTATTTTAAATCAAAGAGAAGTTGTAATCTATCCCTACTTTTGTTTTTTTTACTGATCAAACTAGCAGACTCAAGAGTCACACAAATTATTAGTTTTTAATATTCTAACTTAAACTCTTATGAATTCCTGCTTTTGGTTTTGAGAACCACTCCACTCTGGATGAGTGCAGTCATGGATGTTGCTGGATTGCCCTGTGTTTATGTCATCTGCAAGTACAAAGAGATGAGAGCTGATCACTGAAGCAAAGAAAGTAGGCAAAATGGTAGAGTAATATTTCATATATATGAATAGCTATAGGATTTGAGTATATGGGAAGCCTTGAGATTGGTCCTATATGAGAAAAAAATGTTTCAAAGTTTGCATTTATCTTGAGTGTAGCTCTAAACTACAGACTGAAGGTGAGAATCCACCTGACCTTTTGCCTGGAGGAATTTTCACCTTGAATCTGAGCTGCCATAAAAGTTCAAGGGATATATCCCTCTGGTAAAATACTCATTATCCTTTTCTAACCCTTGCAGTCATCTCAGTGCTGTTTTTTCCAAAGTCCAATGAAAGGCTTTTTATACCAGAGTCAAGGAAATTTCTGTATTCCTATCATTGTATATTAACAAACATCTTAAAAATTGACTGTTCATTTAATTTCCAGGTTTTAAAATACATGCCTATACATCCTGCTGTTAGGATAATTCTTCTTGCTCTGCAGATAAAACCCTCAGAATTTACAGTTACAAAGGCTGTAGTTTTACAGCCTGCTTTAACTGATCTGCAGCAATGCTTCCATATGGGTGGGCTCACAGCTGCTCCCAGGCACAGGTTTCTGCACTCTCTGTGTAGCAGCATTAGCAAACGTGCAGCCATGGGGTTATTTATAATGTACATTAAAAAAAATTTAAAATGCTTTATTTCTAAGTCTCTTTTCTGGAATTAGCTATTGCAGAGCTGCGTTATAGTAACTGCTGACATAAGGAAGACAAAAGTGATGTGTACATAGCACCAGAGTAAACCAGAAATAGTATCTTTAGGGAGAATTATTTGGTAGAGACAACTGACACAACAATTATGTCCCTAGATATATCAGACCTTTCATCATCTTCTTCCTTCAAAAGCATCTTTGTGCGTCTCACGTTGTTCAAACTATGTAAGAACATTAGTTAGGTTTTGCTGGGTGTTGTGTTTTGTTTTTTTAAAAATGTATAATGCCTTCCCCTTCTCATATCTTTCTCTGCAGCATTTCATGAGGTTTCAGTTTATCCCAAGAAGGAGCTTCCCTTCTTCATCCTCTTCACTGCTGGACTCTGTTCTTTCACAGCCATGCTCGCCCTCCTGACACATCAGTTCCCAGAGCTCATGGGGGTCTTTGCAAAAGCTGTGAGTATTCTCTGCTGCTGCTCCCTTCTGTAAATAAAGACACCAGTGCAGGAAAGGCTGAGCTAAATAAATACTGCCAGGTGTTAAATATCTGCCCACTCAGGAGCATCAGTCCATGTCTGAGCAGGGGATATGTGCACAACTGTCCAGGTTGCTAATCAGTAAGACCTGCCTGTTTGTCTTCTCTGGTATATATGGCTCTCTTGTCAGGTTTGATGTCTTGTGATTTTGCCAAAAAAAAAAAAGGGCTTGATGGGAGAAGTGAGTATCTGTATTTTCATATATCATCCATTAAAATAAACTAATAACAGTTACTCTCAGTTATTAGAATCCTTCTATTTTGTGTAGACTCATCATGGCTGATGTGATTTCCCATGCCATAGAAGCTCTCAGTATGAGCAGAAATAGAGCCTACTGTTAACCAGGACAAATTCCTGTGTTTTTTCCCTGAACTGCCAAGGAGGAAGTAGTCTCAATATTTCCCCCATAACTTTCCTGAACTATGTCCAGAGAATCCTCTCCTAATTCTGCTTTTTTAATCCACCAAGGATTAATAAATTTTGGAGTATGAGGGGGAAGAGCCATGAATTATTCTAACCCAAGCTTTTTTATTTGCAAAAACAAGAACATCACTGTTCCAGCATGCTATTAGATGAAAAATCCACTAACAGAAAAGCTCTAGGATAGTAAAAAAATCCTTCTCCAGTAAATACTGAGTATCTTCCATTGTAATACATTTTCTCAAATATATTTTCCTCTGTTTTAGGTCTCGTGTTTCCAAACTGGCCTCCTGCCTTTTTTTTAATGTCTTTGGTACTTTTGATTTGGGGGTATAGGGAGTGGGGTGGAGGAGGCCAGGCTGAAAGGTTTTGGCAAATTGCAGATTGTCAGTACTCTTTGAAACCCTTTTGCAAAGGGGAAGAGGCTCCCTTTGCAGGTGAGCTGGCTCTTGTGTTAACCCAGGCCTGTGAGTGGGGTCTGGTACAGCAACAGTTCATGCAAGAATTTTTTTCATTAGCTCTAGAAGACACAAAATAAGATCAGTTGTAGCAGAAGATTCTTCTTCTTTCAGCAAGAAGTGCTGAAATATACCTGAAATATTATTACCCCTTCTTGTTTCTTGAGTGTGTATGTGGGTGTTAGGTAGACAGTGTTTAACTTGGGCATATGAACATAAACTTCCCTGTAAGGCTTTTCTTGGATTCAGTGGTTGTGCTTTTTCTGTTCCTTAGTTACTGAAGTTACTGAAATGTATGACACTTGTTTGGCTCTTTCAATCAAATCTTTAGTTTTCTGATACTGTCACAGTTGTAGATCCCAAATCTGTCCTTGTTAGCCTTGTTCCTGGGTTTATCAGACTTGTATCCTGAACAAAGACTATGTGCTGGCAGCATAGTGAGATTTTGTACTTAGTTCTTCTGCCACAGAAGAAGTTAACATGTATTTCTCAAATGTATTCATAATTAATTAAAATTAATATGTATTTCAATATGTATTTCAGGAGTGCTTTGAATACCTGAGTTCTGTGACATGTAGCTGCCAGTGGTTTTTTTCCTGTGATAAAATGTCCTCCATCTTGATTTTTATCATATGCCTGTCTGAACACTAATATATTGAAGACTCTTTGAATGATGTGTTCTATGCTAGAGAGAAGATGTTAAGATACATTTTATTCAGTGATGCAGAGTATGTTAGGATTACAGTTAGTGATGCCTCAGTGTATAGAGCAGATCTGTAGATAACCCTAAACCATCTTCAACTTGAATCTCAAGACATGATATTTGTCTCTGTGAGGTGGTTCTGGCATACCCCTGCTATGAAAAAGCCTCTCTTTCTCTTCACTAGGTTTTGGGTTGAGCTTTTAGTGGCTTCAGTGGGAGCTTCCATCGAGGATGTGAGATGTGTGGAAACTTTTGTAGCTCATCACTTTGATCTTTGTAAAGATGAGGCTCTTGCTTTCTTTACTGCAAAGTCCATAAATCTCTGTATGTGCAAGGTTCAAGAATTTGAAAGTCTTTATGTGTGAATTATGTAATTTTTATCATGCTGGAGGATTTTACAGAGGAACACAGCAAGAGTGTCTTATCTTATTGGACAGCTTTCTCTTGAGGTGTATTGTCTCCTGGATTTTGATCTGAATGTGTATCTGATTCCTTTGCAGTTTCTCAGCACCCTCTTCGCCCCTTTAAATTTTGTGATGGAAAAAGTGGAAAGTATCCTGCCCTCCAGCCTGTGGCACCAGCTGACAAGGATCTGAGGGAGCATGCCAGACTGACTGCTATGACATCTCTGCCAACTTTCTGTTGACCACAAGAAAGCATGATAAAAAAAGGGAAGCAGTTATAAGACTTAAAAACTTTTCATGGATTGTCTGTTCTCATATAAAAACTGTTTTGTTGTACAAAATACATTGATGTTAGGTTCTATTATATTTTGCCTTCAGAAAAGAAAAAAATAAACTTTTGTGTATTGTAGCATTGCTGTCTTTTGACTTTTTCAGAACACAGATCCTAGGTTTTGTTTTTAAACCTGTGGTATCTGTTTGGCATTAGCTAGGGCATAGCTGCACATGCAGGTAATGAACATGCTGATAATGTTACAATTAAACAACTTTGTCACTGCCTTTTCTTATGGAGCTCAGTTAGGGTGGGGCCCTCCCTTCTGCATCTAGGAGAGGCTTCTAGCCAGTTAAAGCTCCTGGTTAAAGCAGCTTTAGGCTTCAGGCAGTGTGGATGGCACACTGGGCTTCTGAGTCCCTTCTCTGCACAGAGACCACCATATCTTCATTTGAATTTTCAAGGAGCCCACGTACTTGACAGATTTTCTTCACACCCCGGTGTTTCAGGTACCTTCTGAAAGCTCATTAGCAAAATGGGTGTTAGTTCATGCACAATTAATGGAGAGGCTGGTGTTTCACTGTTACTGCTCACCTCAGGAAACCTTATCCTTGTGCTCTGAACTGTTTAGACTAAGTATTCATTTATGACTTAGCCACTGTTGATGGAAACTTCTGAGACCAGCTCTAAAATGAAGATTTTGATCTGAAAGTTGAAGGAAGTAGTCCTCTCTGTCAAGAATTTGAAGTGCATCCATACAGATGCCTCAAGGATTTTTTTCCAACTCCCCTCTAGATAAGGAAGCATAACCTTAATGCAGTGGATCAAAAATGCCTCTTTACCATTTCAACTTCACTGTCACTCTTAAAATGCTGAAGAGTTTAGGGGACTGTGATCACTAGCAGATAAGTTTGTTAGTTTGTTTATCAATGAGGAAATGAGTGAGCAGAGACAAAACTCTCAGTATTAGAACAGGTATATAAGGAAGGTGTTTCTTAACAATAGAAGATGCATTACATTATTTCACTTGATCACAGACACATTAGTCTAGTAGAAGCCAGATGTTTGTTCAAGTGAGCAGAAGTACCATGCAAACACTGCTGTGCTACAAGATTAAAAAAAGGTAACTTCAGCCAGGAGAAATCAGCTGTAAGAGTGAGACCTGGGCAAGCTCCAAGGTCTGGAGGAGCAGAGAGCGCCACAGACAAATGCTAGACCTGGTGTGGCTGTTGGGGGTTTCCATACAGGTTTATCTTCTCTGGCTATTACTCCTGCAAAACAATTCACTGTAATGTTGAAATGAGTCTGGGTTGCAGTTAATGTAGGATGTGGCATCAGATTAGAGGTAATGGATTGCTAGTGGATAAGCATGTGGAAGTATGAAATGGACCAATATTTGAGTTCTCCTATTTTCATCTGAATTGCAAGAGCAGGCACAGTAAACACCCTCACAGCAGAGCTGATGTGTATCTCCAGCTGGAAAACTGGGGATAACCATACTGATTTGTTTGCCTCAAAACATCTCTGTCAGAATCATTTAAGGCTGCTGAAAATCAGAAGGCTCAGGCATAGTCAGCTCTTGTCCTGTGCTGCTTTGTACCACTTATTCCCAGCCACCTATACCCTGCATTTCAAAAGAATAAATTGCTGTGATTCACAGTCCTAAATGGAAATGTGCCTGCATTTGCACGTCAGTGTACACCAGCTATATCCAAATCTCCATGTTTGTCAGCAGCTGAGGTAGTAGTTTGGCCTTCTATTCGAAGATATCATGATCTGTGTGGGAATTACTCTCTGTATTACTCTGATAAAAAGGAATGCTTAACTCCTAGAAGAGTCACATCCTTTCCTTGAACTATGGGGAATATTTAGGAATTCAAACATAACTTTATGAAATTTCTACTATTTCTGCTATCTATCTCCTTAATAAGCAGTAATGGGCAATGGATTTTTGTATCTGGAAAATCTCTCTTTAATTATAATTCTAGGCATCAGGAAGACTAGGCAAATCAAACAAAAGAATTTTCTTTTTCATTGGGCAGAGTTTATTGCCTTAGGCTTTGCTGCCTCTGACATGTTTCCTGTGAAGTTCAGTATAGCTTAGATCAAAAAGCAAACACAGCCCATGATTATAATGATGGAAAGCCTCTGGCTTAGTGCAGAGATGAGCTTTGTGGAAATCTGGTTCAGATAATAACTCATCTTCAGATTTAGGGGTGGAGGAAGCTTTTTAACTCCAAATGTTAGCAGTTCCTAGTTGTTGTTTTTTGGGTTTTTTTAAGACAGCTTAATAGAATGTGTATGCACGCTATCTCTTTACACTATAACCTGCATAGAACAAAAAATGAGAGGACTCCCCCCAGGAGTGTCAAGTCAGGCTGTCCCTTCTGTCCCTTCCTCCCACCGGGTAGACAAACAGCTGCTCCCTGCAGGAACTGCACTCGGGGAGGGGAGTGCTACACCACGGGGAGGGCTGCTGCTTTCTCTTTTTTATCACTTGGTGTGTATGCTGAACTTACAGACTGTTTTTTCAGAGCATGGAAGTCCTTACCCTAGCAGAAAGGAGGAAAATTATCAGGAGTTTTGCCATGTTGAAGAAACTGCAGAAGCTGAACATCCAAAGGAAGCTGCACCTCTTGCACACGCCACAGACACTCCTTCACAGCCAGTGTGGCTGTCACCCTGTGGTGGCCCTGAAAACCACAGTGGCTCTAGTTACAGCAAATTGTAAAAGGTAGCCCCTGGCTCCACCCAGCTTCCAGCAGGGCTCCTGCCCAGCTCCCACCACAGAGGGAGCTGTCAATGTATTGTGTCACATGCATTTGCTTCTTTCTCACAAGAGATCTTAACTTTATGAAGTTGCATCCATTTCCCCAGGCAAATGAGCTTTTGCACAAAAGTGACAATCCAAAATCAGGTTGTGGTTACAGCTCATGAGCTGTCTCTGTCTTTCTGATAATAATATAAGTTAATTTCTATCATTTGAAGTGGCAGGTAAAACCTGCAGGCTGTGATGTGACCACAGAACCCCTTCTGCCCTTGGAGGCAGCCACCACCTGCATGCAGCCCTTCCAAAGAGTGTGGGGCACACGGCATGGAGGAAGGAGAATCTTGGTACTCTCTCTCACTTTGTGCTGCTCACTGGAGTAAGAGCTGCTTTTTCTTAGCAAAAGCACCCTCCCCAGATGCAGCTCTTCACTAATCCCTGGACATTCCTTTCCCCCTTGTCTCCATGCACTGAGCCCCAAAGAAGCTGGGCATGAGGCCTGCAGGCAGTGCCCAGCTGTGGTTTGGGCATGCAGGCTGGACACCCTTCACAAATGCAGCATTTTATTTCTAAGTCACATCTGCAAATAAGTGCACACAGGGAAAGGAGGCCAGGATGAGATGCACAAATTTGTTTTAGATATTTTTCCAGGAGAAGAAAAAGCAGCAATCTCTCAAGCTTCAATGCCCACATGCCCCAATATACACCACCATTCCTAAGTCATTCCTCATTTTCCATGTGGTAAAAGAAAATTAAACTTTTTTTACGAGATTTCACCTATAACAGCACAACACATTTTTTAGGGTAAAGTTTGTTGAAAATAGTGGGGAGGAAGCAATCCCAAAAAGTTTGGCAGGCTAACAGTGTTTCAGGGCGCTGCTAGATCCTGAGTTCATGCAGCAAATTAAAGGGAACTCCCTCAAGAAAATTGGACTGCATATTTAAAAAAATAATCCTATAACCTTTAGCCTTAGTTAACATTATACTGACATTAAAATGTCTACCTAGGGACAGCTGTTTCCTCTTCATGACTAAGTACATGAGTAAATTTATTCCATAGGACAAAACTACAGTATTATTTCATTTCCCATGCCTATTTATGTTTCTTCTTTTTTTGTTTTCTCTTTTTTTCCTCCCTCTATATTCTTTTTTGGATTTGCTGAAGATCATGGAGACTCCTTTCCTAGCAATATTTACATCTCTGAGTATCTTTTGCCACTAAGAAATGGCAAAAATTTCTAGGAGCGCATTTCTTTGTGGAAGAGGCAGCAGAAATACCTACAACTGTGAGAAGTCTACCTTGAGCTCTTAAAGAAAAACCCAAGAAAACCCCATAAATGCAGAAAAAACTGTCATCAAGTAAGTGGCCAGCTCAGCACTTACCCATTTCTCATGCTGTGAAATATTCTGTGTTTCCTCTGGTGCAGTGGTTTTGATGCAGGCATTGCATCACAGCTTATCGATATGGCACGTGCCCAAAGTGGGAACATCAGCCTGCTGTGCACACCTGGGTGGCCTTGCTGCTGGACAGGGTGACAAGGACACTGAAAAGCCCAAGGGACTCAATGCCCCCATCTTCCTGGTCTTACTGGTAAGACCAGCCTTCAGGAACCACAGGCCTCTGACCCAGAGGAAGGTTTGGAACAGGAAGATGTGCATTAGCAGAGGAAGACGAGGTTGGGGAATAAAAGTTAATACACTTTTAACACAGTGATTCTAAAACACTTAGTGATTCTAAAACACTTTATCTGGAAATGCAGAATTCAGGTCAGTTGATAATCTGGAATATTAAACAAATAACAGATTTAAGAAGAGATCTGATTTCATTATCCTTCATTTGACTACCTAGAACAAGTTCTCTTGTAAGAATGAGCCTATTTTCTTTTTTCCAGAACATTGAAATACTTTCAGCTTTATTAAATAGATAATCTTTTAGACTACTCAGGCTCCTTAAATCTTAAAAAAGAAATGGCTCTAAAAGGTTAAAAATTATTATACTGCTTTTAAATTCTTTAAGGCTTAAAGTACGATATTGCTGCGGTTACGAACTACATGTGGATTTAATTTCACAGTGAAATCCCAATAAAAGTTCTCCTTGGAGCTCACCTTTAAATACAATTGTGTATGAAATTTTCCTTATCCAGGCCAGAGCCAGAATTGGCAGCAATGAAGAGGCCAGCAGTGTAACCCCTGAGCTGCCCATGGGTACATATACACATCTCATACATCTCATACATCCACTGCACGTGCACGGACACGTGGGCACGGCTGTTCCCACCAGCAGTTGGTTTACAGACAGAAGTGTGAGTATTGGTACCTCTAGCCATGATCATTTCCATACACAGTAACTGAAACCTTATCTTATTGTCCCAATAAAG